AAGAGAATTTTGGCTACGTTTTGCACCTTAACAAAAAGATAGTGGACCACGGACGCCTAATACACATTCTCTTACGCATATCACAATCCACAAATTTCGGTATCCATTTCCAATTGCTCTAGGTATGACTAGAACACGGATCAGCCAGAGCTTGATTTCTCGTGTACATCTAGTACTGTGCTTCAAAGGGTTAAGATCAGTCGAGCTCACTGTAATAAGCTACCCGGCCGGCAGAGAGCAACTCTCTGATAATTGACGCCCTATAACCACTTCATAAACTTTGTACTTTACGACCTTGCATATAAAACGCGACTTCACAGAGCGATGGTTGAAGAAGTATAAACTTCTACCCAATATCATGTTGGTTCTGTAACACGTAACAGTGCAACCAGAAACTGTAAATTTATTAATATATATTGAAAAAAACTGACTGTTTATGCATGATCCTATATTCTCTTTCCTGAACTAGTAATAACTTTATTGATGAGTATTATTGTTTCCGTGAATAAAAATCGCACATAATCATATTTTTATTCCAGAAGTTCATAAAATTATTATATATAATACAAAAAATTAAAATTATTTCCAGCGAGATTTTGTTAACCATCCAGAATACATATTTTAACGACATAAAATAATGTAAACAGATTGTCTATGTATGTCTACTGCAAAGGGAAGAATTATATATAATCCGTACCAAAATAGAATAGTCAGTAATGAACCTGGACATACGTTGAAGTGTAACATGTGACAAGGAAGGCAGTGATTTGATAATAATGGCGGAGATCTTAGTGGTAGTGTGATGGTGAGGATTCGACATTCTCAAATAAAGATCCACATTTTCGATATGAGACTTTCTTTCCTTCACTAAGCTTATAGGTTATAGATCTATGAAATTAATAAAAGTAAGCTACGTTTAATTTTGAACAGTCTTGCCCACTTTGGGGTTATTTAACCATTGAGAGGTCCAGGTATTTTGAATTTAAATTCGTTTAACTTATTTCCTTCTTGGTTTTTCTCATAGATTAAGAGACTACTATATTGTTATGAATTATCTTATCAATTCTTTCGAAAGCAGATGCTAAATGATATTTTTTGGCATAACTTAGAAAGCATAACGCCGGGTCCATACAAGCGCATTCCTCCGTATCGTAACAGCGAATTCGCATGTGTGGACGATGTTTCTATAACTTCAAATGTGGGCGTTCGCCACAAAGCGCGTCTTCTTGTACACATCTGAACCTTAAAATTCCTTGCTTCTTTAAGCAGTTACGTTGCACCATAAGCGCAGGAGTATACCCGGCTTAGAAAATGTCGACAGTAGAGTCCACTTAACTGTAAACAGGATGATAGTATTAAGATGGATCTTAAAATAGGAGTGAGGTTTTGAATCGAACTCATGCCAGAGTAGATCTGTAGGATCCAGGAGCAAACTGTATTGACACAAAAATCAGGCTTCAGGTTCCTTTAATCGCAGAGAAATTATTTGAGATTTTCAAGACGAATTGTCCGTTAGGTTGGTTATATTCTTCAGGAGTTAATGATTGTGTAAAATAATTTAGAAAACAAACACATTTTAGAAAATACTAAGTAGGCATATTAATTTTATTAAACGTTATTACAGACAATAACAGAGCGAAAAAAATATTAAGACATTACAATGCAATCAACATGCATGCTTAGTTGAAAATCAATGAATATGGAGAAATTTTATTATTCAATTTTGTGAACAGTAACGATACAATGTAGCTCATTGGATTTGCATTTCTCCCTTCCCCCTCGTTTGCTGCGTCATTGTAAATTAAATTCACGTTTCCATCAGGCTATTATGCACATGCATATTCTCACCACGTCATAAACTAGCACCTGTTTGTTATTAATTTATTTGTTAGTAGCTCAGACTGCATAGCGTAGACTGGTTTAATGGTTAATGATGAATGAACTGGAAAGAATGTCGACTGAAACGTTTGTTGCCTAATTTTAGGAACTAACCCGGTATTTTCTTAAGGGACCAAGAAAAATCACGAAAAGGGTAAGCCAGGATAAAGATACGTGGGTCTAAATTTGAAGCTGAGGCCTCTCGAGTAATTACCAGGAATACTAACCACTCGGTCGCAACAAAAGCTGCAGCTATCATGTCACAGTTTTAACAATCATCTGAATTATTTTTTTTTTACTTTATTAATATTTAAATATCATCGAAATCAAAAAATTGCCTATGAATGTAATTTGTCATACTGCAGGGATATAGACACAGGTCTAAGTTATTAAGGCAGCGCACATGGAGCTAAAGACGGGAATAAACCATGTTTCATGGTTGTTCATTTGTTATACGTGTTTATTAAATGGGATTTCCAACAATAATTTGTTTTGTACAGCCACTGTGGTCTAGTGGTCAGAACGCTGGCCTTGTAAATCCCGGGGTCTCGGGTTCGATTCCCGGCGGTGCCCGAATTTATAACTTGTGTTGGGCAAGGCCGTGGTCTAGGCAACACGGAGTTTTCCTCCGTGGCATCCCAACAATTACCCCATTCACACACAGAAGAAGGCAATGGCAAACCACTTCTCGATCATCTGCCAAGAACGTATATGAACAAGTCCCAGTCCGAGACAAAACTGCGTATAAATAAAATAAGTTATTTATTTTATAAAGAATGTCTTCTATTTGCGAATTTCGTAAATAATAGAGCGTTTTGGTATAATTAAGAAGCGCACAGGTCAATTCTAAAATGAACAGTCTACGCGAAGCATTAGCGTTTAATGCAATCTTCTAATCTGTCAGATGTAATTTTTTTACTGCGTCTACCACTTGGAAGAGACAAACGATCTATCTCACACGTAAGATTTCAAGCGAGCCAATTAGTTACAGTGCACGGACCACGCACAAATTAACAGTTTCAGCCGCACCCTTAGTGAACATTAGCACTGCCACACTTTTGCTTGAGCTCCAGACTACATATCTCAGGT